GACTCAAAATGCCCCATGCCAGTCCATCTCATCTCACCAATGCCTAGTATGTCAATATTTATGCGTTCCATTTCTTCCTTAACAATATCTAATTTTCCTACATTCATGGTTCTCACATTCCATGTCCCAATAACCAGTGTCTGCTTACAACTGTTCCTCTTCCTTTGTATTTCCATACTTGAAAACTCAACCTCCTTTGCCATCTCTGTTGTAGGAAAAATTATTGGAGAAGCTCACTATCAGTTGTGAAAACTCAGCCAGGTGCTGATTGTGGGTCAGATCTTCAGATACTTTATGCAAGTTCAGACTGAAGCAAAAGAAAATAAAATCCACAAGAACCAAAGCTTGACCATAGTCTATACCTCTTGAATTTTTAAAGACGATCTCAGGAACAAGTTTGAGGCTTTGAATACTAATGAGCGAAGACCAGATGAGCTGTGGAAGGACGTCAAGAATATCATCCATGAAGAATGCAAAAGGTTATTGCAAAGACAGGAAGAAGACTAAAATAGACATCAAAAGAGACTTTTTTTTTTGCTTTTTTATTTTAATTTATTTATTTTTCACTGTTGTAGAATGAGGCTGGCATTGGGGTGGGGGTAAGACTGAGAAAAACTGGATGAAATATGTTTACAGCATTGAAGTCTATGGGGGAGAGAATAGTTTAAAAGAGACTCTTTAATATTGCACTAGAGTACCAAGAAGCCAAAGCAAAGGGAAGAAATCAAGATGTTAAGGAACTGAACAGAAGATTTCAGTAGACAGCATGGGAAGATAAAGCAAAGTAGTAGTATAATGAAATGTGCAAAAAGCTGGAGTTGGAAAATCAGAAGGGACCAACTTGCTCAGCATTTTTCCTTTTTTTAAGTAGAATTTTTATTTTATATTGGTTTACTTAACAAAGTTTGTATACATTGTTTTTCACATTGAATCTTTGCCATTTCCTTTACCCATCTCTTCCTTCACCTATCAAATTGTGTGACCTTATCATTAAGCACGCCCCACCCTGTCCCACCCCTACCCATTCTCACCCCACACCCCCTTGGATCCTGCTACATGTTCTTCAGTAATGATCTTACACAGTATTTGTCCTTAAGAGATTGTTAGTTCACTTAGCATAATACTCTCCTGTCCCTCTCAAGTTCTGTAGTGATTTACAAAATCATTGTTCCTGCACACTGTGTAGTCCATTGTGTGAATATACCATAATTTTTTAATCCATTAGATTGTGGTTGGATATTTGTGCTGTTTCCATGTTCTTTTGATGGTGAATAACTTTGCTCAGCATTTCTTACGATGAAGGAACTGATAAACAAATTCAAACCTCGAATTGTAATACTTAAGGATGCTGTGGGCAGAATGTTGAATGCCCCAGGAAACATCAAAAGAAGAGCGAAGAAGTACACGGAGTCACTGTATCAAAAAGAATTGGCTGAATCAGAAAATTTCATGGAACAACATATGATCAAAAGCTTATGGTGCTGAAGGAGGAAGATAAAGCCATGTTGAAGGAATTAGCAAAGAACAAGGCTCCAGGAATTGGTGGCATACTGATTTACATATTTCAACAAAGAGAAGCTTCCCTGGATGAGCTTACTAAATTAGGCCCAGAAATCTGGAGGACAACAACCTGACCAGTTGACTAGAAGAGATCCATATTTGTTCCCATTCCCAAAACAGGTGACTTGACAGAGTCTATCAAAGAATATCATTAATACCAAACGCAAGCAAAATGTTAGAATACAAATTGCAGTAGGATACTACTACTTCCATCAGACTGATAAAATTGAGAAGAATGCTACTTTTTTGTTGAGGGTACTGGGAACACATAAGATATGTTAATTGGTAAAAGTGCCCAGTTACCTGACTAGCGGAATTTAAGGAGCATTCAGCCCACTACTTTATTAGAATAAAAATATGGGAATAACCTAAATCTCCGAAAAGATCTTTAGTCCAGTATCATAGATTTATGTAATAGATAGCTGAGTAATCTTTATAAAAATAATGATTTAAATTTGTATTTACTCGAAGGAATATGGTCACTATATAATTATGTTTAAAATGTTTTGTTAGAGTAGTATGTATGGAATCCATTTAATAATTTTAATGCTTTTGTAGAAAGAGCCCTACCAGAGTATTAATAATAATTACCATTTAATTGATAGATGTAGTAAATGCATGTATTTTTCTATTTTTTTTTCTACAATGCAGATGGTATTAAAAAAAATGTTTAGGCTTAAAAGAAATAAGCCTTCTTATTCTTCCTGTGATTTAAGGTAAAAATTATTTTACTACCAGAAAAATATCAGTGAGAAAATGGGGATGGCTATTAAAATTCTGATTTTGTTTTCTTCCTGGAATTTTCATACTGTACCTCTTAGACTTGTAATAATTCAAATAAGTGGGGTTCTGTGGCTGTGCTACGTGTCCCTAGTGATCGAGGAGGAAGCGTTAAGAGCAGTCAGTCATGGATCAGGTAATGCAGTTTGTTGAACCAAGTCGGCACTTTGTGAAGGATTCAATTCGACTAGTTGAAAGATGCACCAAACCTGATAGAAGAATTTCAGAAGATTGCCATGGCAACAGCAGTAGGATTCACCATAATGGGTTTCATTGGCTTCTTTGTGAAATTGATCCATATCCCTATTAATAACATCATTGTTGGCAGCTGAATTCCTTCCTTTTGGAAGAGTGGTGTTTGTCTTGTTTATTTTCCCCATCGTGAGAATTGATGAGCAATTAAGGATTTAAGAAACTCATGGAGTAAAAATTTACCACATTTTTTGTTTTTTTCCCCAGATTTTTTTCTATTTCTAAATTAAAATACTTTAGCAATAAATTTATTTCTATCACATATTTATCAAATTAAAAAAAATGTCAAGATGAGAGTCACTTTAATAAAATTTTAATGCTAGAAAATAGAAAAAAAGAAATAAGTGAAAGTAGTGTGAGGTTGGGGTTTTTTTTTGTTAATATGTTTATTTTGTTTTAACAGAAATGTGAAAAAAAACTTCATCCACGAAAACTTCAGGATAATTTTGAAACAGGCAAGTTATTTTTCTGTCATTTAAAGCCTCTTTGTGAGATTTAGTTTGATTTTTGCTCTAATTTAGGTTGGAAGATCAGCACATATTTTGTAATGGAAACTGTTTAAGTTCCCTTCATATGAAATTAGCTAAAATTACAGATTGAGGTGAAATTACATGCCCTTGTGCGATTTCTTTTGGGAAATAGAATGCTTTGATCCTATTTGTGAATACTGCATATAAAGAAATGTCTAAGAAATGAGAATTATAAAATTATATTCTTCTTATTCTTCCTGTGATTTAAGGTAAAAATTATTTTACTATAAAGAAAAACTTTTAAAATAATAAGTTTATGAATGTAATTAATTGTAGTTTCTGTTCACTGTGTGCTGCCCTCCTTTTCACTTACCTATTTATTAATTTTTCACTCTTTTCGACCTTCCCATCCCTTTTTTCTTAAATGTGACAATACTTTAACCCCGTTTATTTTTATCAATGAATTTTTTTTAATTTTAATTTTAATTTTCTTTGTGTGTACCATCAAATCAGACAGATCTGACTGGTACAGGAGGAAATTGCCCCTCCTTCTCCAGCAAAGCATCTGGTGGATTTAAACTTCATACCTCTGGGATTGCAGTGCAGCTTCTTGCCACTAGACCACCAGAGCTCCCTTTTTTAAAAAAGATACTTTATACCTTGTTTTGGAAAGCGAAGTTTTCCTGTAAGGAAATAGTAACTATCATTATACTTTGGTAAAGAAAACTTATAGGGATAGATGAACATTTTGGGGCACCTTGAATGATTGAGAAATGATTGGTTTGACATTAACATACTATGAAAAATTGTATTTCACAAAATCTTTTAAAAGTGATCTATGTCTGGAACATTTAAGAAGACAGTGTAACACAAAATCCAGTGAAGTTGAGAATGATTATGTAAATATTTGAGTCTCGTGAAAAAGGTGATAGAAGGGATTCTGATCCTAAGAATCCCCCCTTAGCCTTTTAATGTCTATTTAAAACCTCCTTTCTTGGTTAAGTCTCTGTTAAAAACAAAACAAAAGATTATCAGATAAATTGCAGTTTAGTGTTTATATTATGTTTTTGAAAAATTGGATTTTTTTCTTTGAATTGATGTGAATTCTGTGAAGACTTGGTAACCTAACTTCATCATTCTTGAATTATAATCTTTACAATTCTTAGAAGTCATACAATCTTTACAATAGTAACTTTTTTTCTATGAGGAACCTCCCATGATGTTGGCACAGAATAACAAATACAGGAGGAAAGCAAACTTATGCCCCATTCAAACCAAGTGAATATTAAAGGTCTTAAAAATGGAGTTAAAATTTTGAGAATTTGTGTAAAATTAAGCAATAATATGTTGACAGTTTAGAGAACTGAAGATATTTTTCTGTTTGGATTCAGAATGTGATTTTGTGACACAAGCTGGAGAAGTCACTATTTTATTTCTGTATTACTGAGCTTGCTTTTATTTTTAACAGATGCTGTATATGACTTACCTTGCTCTGGTGAAGACCATTTGCTAGAACATGCTGAGGGACAGTCTGTGGCATGTAATGGACATTGCAAATTCCCATTTTCATCCAGAACTTTTTTGAGTTTTAAGTTTGATCAGAATGCCATAATGAAAATCCTGGATCTTTGATGGAAGCGTGTGGCATATGGAAGTACCAAGATCAGAAACCTGTTGCATTTAAATGTGTGTCTCTTCAAGCCTTACCTTTCTCAGGTGTTTTAAGGAAATGCAGGGAGGCAGTTATGTTTCTGAAGAGATTGTTCTTTGTGTAGGGGAGAAAGTGGCAAGAAACATAAGTTTGCACTGTAAATGTAGTTAAAACCTTTTATACAGATGTACCTTTTCAGTGTTTGGCTAGCTAGTTTAAGTTACCTTTATTTTTTTAGGGCATTCTTTCTGTGTATCTGTGGGGTTTATTTTATATTCTGGTCAAGAGAAATGTTTGAATCATTATGGAGCCAAGTGAATGGGTAATGCTCCATCTACTCATTATTAGTGATTGAGATCGTTTACTTACACTGGCATCCTTTAAAAACAGATTTAAAACACAAAATTATTAAATGAGTACTGAAGTATTCCAAAAGTCAAGAATGCCAGGTCATCTGCATGGACAACATTTTGTGTTTGTATTTGTTTACCACTTAGACTCTTCCTTTGCTTAGAGTCTTGTGGGAAGATTTTTTTTTTTAGCTTTAGTACTTGCAATGTAATAATCATGTTCAAAATGAACTTTTGGCACTTGATTGAAGAACAAAGTCTGCAGTCTGGAGAAGGATTGAGTTGGTTAACTGAGCTGTGCTACCTGCAGTTACGAAACCAGAGAGACTGCTGGTGAAAGGATTGCACAGAAGCATGGAAACTGGAACCCAGCAGCTACTTTGATCTTGTGTTTACTGTCTTGTCTTCAGCTCATTTGCATTGTAAAATTATTTTGGTCTTGTGAAAATTTTCTTTTACAATTGTGTAAATACGTATGTACAAGTGACATTATTAGATTTCTTCTTAAATCTTAATGGTGATTAATATGGAAACTGATTTTATATTGGATTCCAGTTTGCGGCAGTAGCAGAGAATGTCATGCTATTATTGGCCTTCTGAAGCCCTTTTGGAGTAAGAGAAAAATAATTATGTTATGGTAACCGTGCACAAAGAATTTGGCTAGGGATGAATCAGAACATGAAAGTAAGATACATAACTCATTGTTAGGAATGCATGTTCTTTCAGGAGCCTTAAGTCTAAATAAGACTGACAGTGATTTTCTTAAAGATTTCAGTTATAATCGAGGACAATCATCAGGGCTGAGGGTCATTGTTGTTTGGGTGCATCCGAGCTCATGAGGAATATTTCTTTGTGAGGAGGGGTGCGTAGAAATGTGTGGATGCATCAGTCATGTGGGTTTTAAAAATCTTTTATGTGTGGTATCCACAAATAGCTCTCTGCTTGTAAATGTTAATGTAGAAATGTTCATTCTGTATATAAGTAGACTATTTAAAGGGGGCTTTACTAACCCAGTGGGTCTTTCAAAGGAAGCCACTATTGTAAGACAGTCACTTGGTGTTAACTGTGCTTTAGCTTTGAAATGGCTTAATTTTTAAGGAGAAACTCTATTTATTATTGAAAATGTCACCCTCTTGGTGCTAAGCAGGAGAATTCACACTTTTAGCAGTGCATTTAGAATATGTAGACACTGATGTGACAAATTTGTGAATCCTTCTGTGACTTAAAAAGAAAATGCATTCTATTGTTGTATTTGGAAACTCATTAGTTCCACAAATATGGCTGCTTTGCTTGGGTCTCCTTGAGCCATATTAATAGTTGGTCCCAGCATTCCAGATTTCTGTCAAACTGTCAAGGGAGTGAAAACTTACTTTGCATGGCAGGTAAATCATTATTACTTGTTTACTATTGTCTAGAAACCTTTTCATTTGTGTTTATATGTGCACACACATGTGCTTTCTAAGTGATACTTTGATCAGTCTTTCTGGTGCCTAGAATGGTTTCTTCACTTCTCAATACTAAAAGAGATTCATTACCAGAAGTATGGCCTTTAATGGTATTGAGCTTCTTCAAGATCCAGCAAATTATCTCTTTTTCAGTTGCAGGTTGTTTAACTATGGTTAAATGTCATTACTCTTGTGCTGCTTCATTTAATGCACTATGGAACAAAATTAGGATATTGTTGGGATGGGGTTATAACTTTATTAGACTTGTAGCTCTTAACACATTGGGCCAAATGTTAAAAAACATGACATGAAGCTTATGTTTGTGATTAATTAACTATGCAGAATATGTATAAGTTGGATGTACCTGTTTTAGGTACATCTGCTGTACTTATTCCTTTGAACCTGTGTACTGATTTCTCAATGTTCATAATTCCTTCAGAAAGGCTATGCTTAGCACAAAAACTGTTTTTTCTCCTTTGAGAAATTTTAGCCTGGTTTGAGAAAATAAAATGATAAAGGATTATGTTGAATATGCAATAATTTACTTCTGTGTGCTGCATTTTAAGAAGCTAGAAGAGAAAAGTAGTTATGTTGGCTTCATTATATTTTGCCTTTGAGAGAGAAATTGAATTAACTTTTTAAATGATACATTCCAACCTTTTCTGTTCCAGAGTGCAGTGCACTGTGAATCTTAAGTTTTTGTGTGGTGGTGTATTTTTTTTTTATTGTAGGTGCTTTTATGAATGAACTTTTATGATTTATAAGATGCTAGATGATTTATTATTATTTTTTTTTTACATTTAACCATTGTAACCTAAAATGCAGGGGTACAGTTTACATGCTTTACATTAAGTATATATTGTGAAATAACAGATGAATACTTTTAGGATTTCAAACAGTGATGCTCTCCTGAGAAATGACTATTTGGAGAGGTCTGAGAACCTGCTAGAACTCTTACTAGCATGGGTGAAATTTGGTTAAAAGTGTTTGAAAAATAGGTTGAAAAAAGTTTTTTTGTTAGTATGTAAAGGCAAATTTCCTATCCTGTCAAATGAATTGTGATTGCTGCTTTGAGCTTTGGAGAATGTTATTTTTCTATTAAATATCAGTAAGTATAGAAAAATGAAGATTTATAGCAAAATTAATTTTATGCTATAAAACTGGACTAGTATTTTTAAAGTTTTCATAATTTGTGTGTAATGTAAAGTACAAATTAAAAATCTAACCAAACAGCACTCTTCTACCGCGAGTATAAAAGTCGGCATAAGGTGGTGATCTTGAACAGAAGGTCAGGTGTGAGTGCTTGTCTGCGTTAAAACGTTTCATTACCTGTTTCCTCGGTGAGCTTGTTGTTGCTCAGTAACAAGTAACTGAAACAGCAGTAAAGAACAATATCAGGTAGAAAAGTAGACTTTGTGCCAACTTTCTTAACTTTCATAACCTCTCTGGGTTTTAATCTTTATTTTTGTATCAGTGAACTTTCCTCCACATGCTTTAGAGATTTTGTTTTGATTGACATAGAATATGCTTATGCTTACTTGTTGAAATCTGTTGTTTCTGTGTTTGTCTGACGTATTATTTTCCTTACTATTAATCATAGATATAATAAAGTTAAATACTTTAACATTTTTCTGATTTAGGAAAATGTTAACTAATAATTTTGATTTGGATTCTTTTCTGGATTAGAAGGAAAGGTTTATATGTATTGTTGTAAATTTAGATTAATAATAAGCAAGACAGAATTGCTTGTTATTAATAATAGTACCTCTGAAAGTATCTTTACACTTTTTACCTAGGTATGGCCTTGGTAAACAGATGTTAGGAAAACAGTACTTTATTTAGCTTTATCTTCTGCTATTTTGGAGAAGCCTAGTAGCTAAAGTTCTTCGTTTTGTATTAAAGAGCATTTGTGTAACTGCCAAAAATTACAAAATGAGACAATGATGGGTTTTTCAGCATCTCTTTCTAAATTGAGTTGCTCTTGCAGTCTTCCCATCTGTGTCATAAAGAGTACACATAGCAAATGAGCAGTACTGGCTGGCTCTCATGTTTCAAAACAACTTAAAAAATATGATAGGCTGCTGTTACAGAAGGGGACTCTGGTAGCCTAATAGATAACCTATGCTATCAACCCCAAAACAGGTGATTCAAATACATGAGTAACTCTGTGGGAGTTCCTATGAGATTTACAGCTTCTGAAAACCTGATGGTTAGTACTGAGTCAGTTTTGACTCAATAGCAATGGTGGTGTTGAGTTGTGGTTATAAAACAAAATTACCCAGAAGGTAGAACAAAGCTATAGTTGCCAGGTCAAATACAAGGGAAATATTTAAGAAGGTTTATCAGTTCTTAAATACTGTATGATGCCCTAAGAACAACAACAACAAAAGTCTACAAAGCTATTGCTGTCAAGAGGATTCAAACTCATGGCAACTTTCTGATAGGTTTTTGAGGCTGTAGATCTTTTTTATTTTTTTATTAATTTCAGTGAACATTTACAGAGATTCTGCATTTCCATTCATTCATTGTTGCACTTTTCTCTCTGCCCACCCCACCCCCAGAGTATACTCCCCTCTGCAACCCTCATTCCGAACTCTTTTGATAATCATAATGAGGCTGTAAATCTTAATGGGAGCAGGCTAGAAACATGGCCATTGACTAGCCCAAGTTTAGCTCAGTGTATGGGCTTCACATTGGCTCTTCATAATACGAGTCATACTGGACTTGATGATACCTAACAATAACATGGCTATTACCAAACTTTCCGGCTTTGTATAGTGGGGTTTGTTTTGTTTTGGGGTGTTTTTGTTTTGTTTTTTAAAGTGCCAAGTAACCCAATGAATCTAAAGTAATTTTCCTCACTTTTTGAAAGACCAGTGTTTAGAACTCTCTGGTACTTTTTTTTTATTTTTTATTTTTCATTTCAATGAACATCTACAGAGTCTCTGGTACTTTTTTGTGCTGATAAATTCAGCTGCACTGAATTGTTCTCCTTTTAGGTAGATATCCTGGAGCATGTATACCATAGCAGGCAGGTGTGTGTCAATTGCCATTTCCCCAGTGGCAGGTCAGTATGGATGAGAGTGGACTTGAACGCTTGACTTTCATCTACTTACTTACTTGGATTTTAATACCATGTGCAAAAAAGTAGAGAAAAATACCCAACACACCAACTTAGATGTTTTCATTTGAGCAATGTTCATAATTGAATCTTTAGTCTGAGCCCCCATGTCAGTGAAATCTGTTAGGAAATTCCATTTATCTTGAGTCATCTTTGATTAACAGGGGATTATCTAGCTATGGCAGCAGCTTCAAAATATGATAATCTGAGTGACATCAGTGTTTTTCTGGTCAAGAGTGCAGTGGAAAAGAGGGTGAATGCTGTAATCAGTTGCTGTATTTGTAACTTTGTTCCACATGGACTAGTCAGTGGAATATTCAGGGTTGTGGATAGATACGTGTTACTTTTTCCCTGAAAAAGTTCTTGGAGGTGGTTGAGTGTCATGTTCACCCCACCCTAATCCAACCCCCCACCCACCCATCAGGTTATCATTTGCTG